GAATATTAATTTACTTGATTCTAATCCCGAAAGAACACCCAGAACCCGAACCATCCAATTTGAACCCTGTTTTTAATATCCTGAATCAATTTAATTTTTTTATTTATTTATTTTTGCACTTGCTGTTAGTTAATTTTTTTTTATCACCAAAAAAAAAAAATTATTCGGAAAGATTACCATGACTTGTGCTAGCCTGTGATCATAGATTGTATTTAAAACTTCCTTTTTGCCACTCCTTGAGAGACGATACTCGTGGTCTGGTTATTCTTCGGATTAGCCAACTACGTTTTACTTCACTAAAAAAAACAATGATCAAGCACTGACAAGTGAGAATAAGTGGCTAGTTCCAGTTGGCAAATGGAAAGGCAAGGAAGACGAGGGCAGTGTCATTTTGTTAGGTCCCCTAGATTTTGATGATTAATATATATATGTGGTATAGTTTTGATGATGTCACCCCTTTTTATGATCCCTTTATTAGACTAGATCTTTGTTTATGTTCTACTATGTTTATTGTAATGTGCTAATCATTATTGAAAAACAAAGTACTGAAGAAAAGCAAAGAGTACTCAAAAGAGAAGAAACGTACCAAAAACAAATTAAAAACAAAAGAATAAAAAAGAAAAGGTACGAAAATAGTCAACTGGAACCCTTTGTAAATTCGGCAGCCATCTGGAAAAACCAAAGCAGTAGCCTACTGAAAACATTTCAGCTGGCTCCTACCTCATTTTCCCAGGCAAGGCCACCAAAAATCTACTACTCTTCTCTTAGCACAAAAACAATTAAACAAAAGACCAGCTTGCAGTCAAAATGACACAGAGATAGAAAATAATTTTATAAGAAATTTTTACCACCTTATGAAAATATCTTATAAATTTACTTTACTAAAATCAAGTGATTTTATTTGTAAGGAAGCATTGAACAGCACACAACTTTTATACTCAAATCTTCGAACAAAAAGATTAAAGATATTATCTTGATCTTTACATTGAAATGAGGAAACAAGTTGAAGTGAAGATTTGGTCCGTGTCACAAGAAGACAAAGACAAACCATGCTGGCTACAGTCAAGTGGAACAAAGCAACTAAATCAAAGCAACGGTCAAGATTGAACTCTTCAGCCAACGGTCGAGATTCAACAAATCTATAAATAAGGAGTGCGGGAATAACATGTGGTGAGCCAAGTGGAGAAGAAGGGAGTCAAGAATCACTTGAACACATCCAACAAACAAGTGATGATTCCCCTTCGCCTTTTTGGTTTCCACGTACCCCACTCATCTACAGCTCTCAGACTAGCTCAAATTAATACACATCTATAGAGCTTAGATTAGTTGGTAGTATATAGTTTTCACCCATGTAAACTAGACTAGTGTTTGACATTCTTGAGAGTTTTTTGTTCAAATCCAGAATGTGAGAAGGATAAGGACATGAGTAGCTTCTGGCAAGTCAATGCCATTAGTGAAAAACCTTGGAGGACTGAGTAGCTTGGAATGGTGTTCAAATTCCTTGTGAAAAACTCACAATCTATGCCTGGGCCAAGGATAGATTGAGCACTAAATGTAATGAGATATTCATTTAGTGGAAAACCATCTGAAATAGGTTGAGACTGGATGTAGAAGGATGACACCACCTCTGATGAACCATGATATATCTTGTGTCACCTTTTATATTCAGCTCTCAACACACACTACAGTTCTCACTCACCTTCACAACTTCCCAGACAAACAACTTGCTCATTTCACTGTCCAGAAAACTGTCTAGTTTTCTGAGAATCAAACTCCTTGTTTCTGATCATCAAAGTTATCTATTCTAATAGGTCTAAATCCTTCATACGTATGTGTTAAGCCTGTTCTAAAAGTCTGTCACTGTGTTAGATTACAGTTTCTTGTTGTATCTTAACCATTGAAGCAGTAGCATCATTCGACAGTCTGCTCCTAAGAGGTTCAGCAGCCTGCTGCTTAAGGTTTCGGTAGCATTTGAACATTGTTTAATCCATCTCTCACACAACTAAAAGGGTCATAACCTTTGTTACTATAAAGTGTCACACTATTGAGATCAAGACTTCTGCTGTAGGTTTTAATATCCCTCAAAAGATATTAGAACTCATTCTGTTAGAGGAAAAAAGGCTGAAAAATAAAAAGATTTAAAAGTCTATTCACCCCCCTATACTTTTACCTCACTTGGTACCACCACATTTCACCAAACTTTGATGGTCAAGGAAGTCTAAAACAGGGGAAAGAGCAGCACTCTGCAGTTTGCATGAGATCAGGTTGAGAAAAAGCATAGGAGAGTTGATCAAAGGGATGAAGGGACATTACATAGGGACATGGAAGTAGAGTTGAGGGCGCCAAAAAATGGGGAGTCGGGCTACAATGCCCGCCTGTCACGCAGTTGAAGACTGGACAGGAGGATTTAGAAGGGATAGAATCAATAGAATTCCATCAGCTAAACTTTTTCTTTTTATGTTTTTTTTAATTCTAAATTGAATTTATTTGTTTACTGTGTTTTTATTTTGTCATACAATAAGGTGGGAGGATATGCGTTTTGGTTAATTTTGATAGGTAGAATTCTTGAGGGACGCAATCAGACTGACTCAGCTGCTAATAACCTTTCAGCGAGAGGGCCCGTGGGCTTTTGATAGGCTAAATTTTGAATAGGCTAAATTTCTCAAACTTTCAGCGACTAATCCCGCTCTTTCTAGGGCAGACTATTATATATTTGATCAAGACGTGAGAGGGCATGTGGGCTTTTGATTTTGGTGGGTTAAAGGGATTTTAGGTCTTTGGATATGGTTGTTGTTTTGGATCATTTGATTTTAATATAAGCTATTTCCTTTCAAGAAAAATTATTTTACTTATTTTAAGTTAATAAAGATAAATTTGTAAAAACGGAGGTTAGAGTTTATCTCTCTAAAGCTTTGGAGCTCTCTAGGGCGGTGGCCGCTAGGGGTTTGTTTTCCGATTTTGAATCTTTCAAAGATCGGCGGTACTGGTGCGGTAAAGATGATCAAAGGAGGTCAACTGCAGACGGAGATGACTGGAGGAGAATTTCACGCAGATAAGGAGAGCCGAGCAGTGCAAGATATGGACAAATTGACGATTGTTGATGTTGACGAAGGGGCGGTCGAGTTGGAGGTGAGCCGCTTTGGTCCAACATCTGCCGACGCAAGAGTCCGGCCTCCTCCAGAACCACCGCCAAGGGTTGATCGATGCGGTTTGGAGTTTGATAGTTTATTTTTTCTGCATTTTAATTTCCAGGTTAAGACGTTTGTGTGTTGTTTTATTTTATGTTGTAAGACTTTTGCATTAGGTTTGGGGGATGAGAGCTCTGCGGTAATCATCATTGGCTTTAAGTTGCCCAATTCAGGTCTAGCGAGTTATACTGCTTTTTTACAGGTGGTTAACTCTCAGTCTCGGCCAAGGCCGGATGGTTACATGTGGTTCTTTTATTATCTTGTACTCCTGCTGAATGCTATTTTTATGAATTAAGCCCTTTTTGATAAAATAAAAAGTTAATAAAGATAAATTTGTAAATTTCATAAGAACACTAAAAATATTTTTATACAGAAAGTTCAAGAGTGTATTTATATACTTCTCCCCTAATTTTAATACGTGAACCTTTTACTCGGTTTTATCTAGGGGTGGGCATAAAACCCGAACCGAATCGGTACCGAGCCGTCCTATAATGGTACCGAACCGAATACCGGGTATTTAAACGGTTCTATAGATTTTTGTCCCGTACAAAAACCGAACCGTTTGAAATGGGTACAAGACCGGTTCTAGATTTTGAGAACCGAAAAATACTGGACCGAACCGTTCGAAAATAACATTTTAAATTTTTATAATTTTTCTGTACCAATAGATCTCTTTTATGGACACACAATTTTAATTTATAGCTCAAGTATGTATTCATGCGTTCCAAACTAGCTAAGTGTGTGTCTTTATATATATTGTTATTTTTTTATTTTAGATAATTTATGTTATATTTTGATATGTATTCAAAGAATAATAAAATTTTAGAAATCATTAAGGACTATTTATTTCTAGTAATGTAGTGTACATGACTTTTTGTGGTATCATGTTTGCGCAATTTTACAACTTAATTAATATGGTTTAAATCTTAGCTCTCAAGGTTCAACTATAAATTAAATTAGAACTACGGAGTAATATTTAAGCTAGAATGAAGAAGAAGAAGAACATTGAAGATTTCTATTATATTCAACAATTTGATGATATTCTTTTTTATATTTTCACATGAACTTAGTAAATTAAAGATGACATTTATCTCGTACGTCATCGTTTTGCTATACTTTTTCTTAATTGTGTTGCACTGTTTGTGTATTTGTGAATTTTAGTACTACATATGCAATTTCTTGTATTTATATCAACATTTCATGTGAGTTGGTTGGTGTGAACATATCTACTAATTGTAAGATTTGTTCAAATTTTTTAGCATGTGTTTGGCATTGTATCGTACCGTTTTGTACTGTTCCGAAACGGCATGGTACGGAACGGTTCCATCCTTGAAACCAGACCGTACCGGACCGTTAAAAACCTAATGGATACATTACGAGTTTTACTACTTTAGAGCATCTTCAATGGTACAATGTGCACGGTGCACACGTGGCATGAGAGATGGCCACATAAATATTAGTAAATAAATTATTTCTCTCCTTATTTGAATGATTTTATACAGTTTTAGTAAGTTTTTCTTCACAATGTCAAGGAGACCGTCTAATGTTGACATTGTTGTTGACATTGCAGGGAAAAACTTACCAAAATTGTATAAAATCATTCAAATAAGGAGAGAAATAATTTATTTGCTAATAATTTTGTGGCTATCACTCATGCCACATGTGCACCGTGGACATTATAGCATTGGAGATGCTCTTACCGGACCGTTCCGGACCGCGCCCACCCCTAGTTTTATCATTATCCGAAAAGAATTTGTCTAAACGAGATACTGCCTCCTATATCAAGCTTACCCTAAGAACTCAGAAAATCCTGCTCCATATACACATCTCCAATAGTTCGCTATTGTCATATCTGAGAGGCTCACAGCACACGATCAAGTTGGTCCGAATTAGACAGAAAGGAGGAGAAAGATGAGCGGGATGATTACGCAAGACTGGGAGCCCATAGTGATCCGCAAGAAGGCACCAACGGCAGCCGCTAGCAAGGATGAGAAAACCGTCAACGCAGCTCGTCGCGCCGGCGCCGAGATCGAAACTGTCAAAAAACGTAATTTTCTTTCACCCTTTTACGCATATGTATGAGCGCAGACGTATATAGCTTCAATTGCCACTGATAGCGTGACGATCTATTAGGGTTTTTTCTCTTACGATTTTCCGTGTTGTTTTCCTCTGTGCTAATATCTGCTTTGTCATTAACCTAATATTTGCTTATTTATTTTAACCTAATGTCTCCCTTATCATTATCCTCTCTTTTATGATGAGTTTTCAACTGAAATCTTTCTTTTTATTGTTCATTGCCCAAATAGTAGCGATATATGGGCTCTTTTTACTGACTCCATGTAGTAAGCTCTTCCCACTTCAACTCGACTGAACGCGCATTAATTGTCTTGAGGTTGTAGACTTGCAGCCAATATATGCTCTGTGCTTCTGTGCCCATGTAGTTGTATACTTGCTTCATTTTGGTCTCTTGATAACCTGCAACTGCTGTTATAGGCATAGTTTAGTTTCATATGTACAGTAATGATGGATTCAAATTTCCCAATTCTTGAGCTGGTCATTTTTGTTAAACGTTATTCATCTTATGTCACTCTTTCATAAAGAAGTTTGTACCTATCTCGTGTGATGTTACTTTGCAAGTATTAGTGTGGGGAGATCCTTTCTTGGATTCTTTTTTACCTAAGGAAATAAGAGTTGTCACTCTGCGGGAAAAAGTTCTTATCTGTATATTTTGTTGGATGTTTCTTTACAAGTCTGTAGTGTGGGGAGATCCTTTCTTGGACTTTTTACCCTAAGAAAATAAGAACTTTTTACTTGTTTGAATTTGCTGCTGCGAAGAACCGAAAGTGCTTGCTTCATCATTCCATCATGTGATGATACACCCTACATGTGGTTCTTTAACTCAATACTAGTGTTTGGGTAAGAAATAATCAAATAATATAATATGGTCACATGCTTATTCTTTACTCTGCAGCTACTGCTGGTACAAACAAGGCTGCATCCAGTTCCACATCTCTGAACACAAGGAAGCTTGATGAAGACACAGAGAATCTGTCTCGTAAGAGTGCTATTACCTCTGTATATCTCTTTAAATCTGTGAACTTTCTCCTTAATTTTTTTTTATGAAAACTAGATGTTACAAAGTTGTGAACTTTCTCTTTAAAAGCAAATCTTATTTTTATGAAAACTTGTAAAAAATAAAAAGTAGTAAACCTTGTGTCTCAACTGTGTCTTAGTTGTTACACAACTACGTCCCGTATTGTCGACTGCTTTTATGATAAAATTAGGTCGGTTGCGGTTTGTGCCGTGTACTCAGTGACATTTGGACCATTCGCGCATTTTGAAACATCCTCGCTACCTAGGATCTTTGCACCTGGAAATGAAGTACTGAAATCATACATTTTCTTCTTTTTTAATTTCTGAGAGTTTTTACCCTGTTGTGCTGCTATTTATCTCTATCTTCATTGTATTTTATTGCTTTCCTAAATATGATGTTTTCTCGCATTTGTATCTGGTGACAATTGTACCTCATCCATTCCATTAAATTCGTAACAACGGAATGCGACACAGAAGTTAAGAAAAAGGAAACCATGGTAGTGATATGTAGTATTAAATTTGTAAATCATGAATGATTTTGAGCAACATAAGTACGATAAAAAATTGTATGAGATGGATATTTGAGATGAACACTTTTGGAAATGAAAAAATAAAATAAATTTGATGAAAAAATGGGAGTAATACAATTTATCCACTGCTTAATTTTTGTCTCAGTTCCTACGGTGCCTACTGAAATGAGGAAAACTATTACTAAAGCTCGGACAGAGAAGAAAATGACCCAATCTCAGCTTGCTCAGGTATCTTTGTGTCTTTTTTTAATTCATTTGCTCACGCACACAAATCAACAAAGAACACCTGTTTTGGCCGTATGTGAAAGCGTACTGTTGAGTAGTGCTCTGATTCTTTCTCCTTGTTTTTGCAGATGATAAATGAGAAACCACAAGTTATTCAGGATTATGAATCTGGAAAAGCAATTCCGAATCAGAGTGTAATAATTAAACTGGAAAGGGCTCTTGGTGCAAAGCTTAGAGGAAAGAAATAAATGTTTAGGCTTGGTGAACATGTAAGCCTTTTTCAATTACACTGCTGAATGTTTTGCATCCTAAAACGTGTTGTACATGAAAGTCAGCGTCCTTTGGTGTATTGATCAATCCTATTTGTCTTCTTGCTACTATGGAATTTAGACTTCAAGGATAACAAGATATGCCATGTAATGCTTCATCACTCAGTTTATAATAAATCTTAGGAACTGCAATGACTATGCTGGCAGGTGTTACTGCGAAATATGTTTGCATTTGTTCCCATGCATTTCTTCAACCTCTTAACTTTGGGGGCTCGTGGTAATTTGCAAATTCAAGGTTTGCATTTAACGTGATTGCATTCAAAAGCTTATAGGGAAATCAGTCACTTTGCATATAAAATATGAATAATTGGCTTGTCAGCTTTACAAACCTGTTTTAAATTACAGTTTTATATTAACCATTTAAAAATTATCACTCAAAAAATGTTGAGCTGGGTATCATGTGAAACGTTTTTGAAAAAGTTTTGGGGTTTACATTTGGTAATGATACTAAACATTACAAAATGCTTACTTCTCAACTTGCCTAATGCCCCTGCATGTGCTCATTCTACCAAAACTCCATGGCGGTGCAACCATAGCCCATAGATAGGAACGTGTGAGCAGCTTATTCGATTGAAACAATCAAACATATATTATTGGGGATATTACCACAAATAGGATCAAAACATTTTTCTTCAAAAAATAGAAATAGAAGCAAATCGTCGCTTTAAAAAGAAAGGAGCTAATGTATAAAGTATTGGAAATGTGATTTATTATTTGTGATTGGACAATAACACCCTTACAGGGTTGTAGACTTGTAGTTTGTTGTCATCTGATTGTCGGGCAGTCGGATGCTGCCTGCCGGTCATCGGAAATTCTTCGCAAGCCGCCTTTGCCGATCTGTTGCCAGAATGTCATCACCACCGCCACCGGTGTGTTCCATCACTAATAGATTGATCTAAGTTATGCAAGGGAATTATGGCAATTAATTATATTAGACTAGAATTGTAGGGGGTATCCCCATCCTAGATTTTAAAGGATTTTAAAACAATCTTAATTCTATGGATTTTAAGAGACTTAAACACATTCCATTGGATTTTATGGAATTCTATGTCTCGTGGATTTCAAATGGTTTTAAATGAAAATCAGCCTCCTGCACATCAAGCTAAATGGTAAGTCGTCCTTAATCAACTTCATCACCCAGGATGTCATCTGACGAACCAACATTCTCATCTCTACCGGAATTAATTTCCTAGCAGAATGCTTGGTTCAGCCACTCCATCGGATTGTCTAGCGGCTCCTCAGTCTTCGACGGAATCAACACCGCCACTAAGAGAAACAACAACAATTGCCCTTCGGAGCTCCAATCGGCAAACCTTTTCCCTCTGGCGAAGTGCAACCAACAATTATTCGGGCATGATATGGAAGAGAACGAAGGAGGCAATGAAATTGACCCACGACACTGGGGGCAGAGATCTCGGCGAATCGGAGTAAGCTCTAGCGAGGAAAAAGAAACTTGAACAGTGCTTGATTCTCAAATCCGAGGGGGGCGGGGGTGGAAATGTTGCTAGAATGATTTCGTATCATTTTCAGCCTATCATTCCATCAAAACCAATCCAAATTTATGAGATTAAAAATGCATGGAAAGTTTGAGCATAGGGAGAATTAGAAAGAATCCTTTACAATCCGGATTGAGGACATGCAGATTTCTATGGAATTATAAATTCCAGTGAAATCTAAATTGGGGACACCCCTAATAATGTTTAATCCTATCTAAAGAAAATAAAATATGATTTTATTTTAATCCCAGTTTGAGCAATTTAATCATACTATTGCTAGCTGTCTAAAAGATAGACCACGTAGCTGTTTTATTTTTTAGCAAAAAATATCACAACATTGGAGAGTATGTAAAATTCACGGTATAGCCGGCCCAGTAACAGGCCCAAGGGAAAAATAGAAAAATATTTAGTGGCATTTTTGCAATTAATGTAAAAATCACGGTTTCTGCTAAATGGGCATTAGTGTACTGTTAATGAGTAATAGTCCAATTTTAATAAGTATTAAATGTCCAATAATGAGCATCGTGTTATTACAAGAAAACTGATATCACAACTAAAAAACGGTGGCATTTTCGTAATTTCAGTGAAAATCGCGGTTTTTGTTAGATGAGGATTAATACACTTGTAATGAGTATCATACACATTCTTTTGAGTATTAGAAGCCTGACAACGAGCATCACGATCTTTGTTTAATATCTTCTAATTAACATTTTTTCTTTTATGAAAACTTATTAAATTATATCTACAGTCAACTTCTATGAACTTCAATGTGTGAATCTAATATAAATTTGTACTTTTGAAATATGAATTGATATGACATTTTCAAAATTAGCATAACATGAGTACCAATTGAGCATACGCAATTTATAAAATGCGCATTGATATGAAAATCATAAGTTGTTTAGTTAAGCATCAAGACACTTTCATTGACCATCATACCTCATGTATTGAATATTAGAAACATGCAATAGAGTATCATGGTCTGTGCTCTCGTATTTATAATCAATTCATATGTTAATATAATGTAATATGGTACTTTTGAAATATGTATTGATATAACATTTTAAAATGAGTATAACACCAGCATCAAATGAGCATATATACATAATTTATGTATATACATAAATTAACAAATGAGTAATGATACGAAAATCATAAGTTTTCTTAGTTGAGTATCAAAACATTTTCATTGAGCATCAAACCTCCTAAATTGAGTATTAGAATCATGCAATTGAGTATTATTAATCAAATCCAAAGAGGTAGAATTGTTTAAATCAAATTTTCATCTCAATTAATTCATTATAAAATTCTCAAATTAAAGGTTCTAACACAGTTAAAAGGAATGAAAAAAAAAAAAAAAAGTGGAAGTCTAGAAAAGAGGTTAACACTGGAAAAGTTATATTCATTGCAATTGCGGACATCTGCAACTCCCTTCGCCTGTCAGAGTCATCCATAGAGGATCCACCTTTCAGGCGGCTACTCCATATTCTTCCACAACATAAATTAATCAATTGTTTGATTCATCTATTTTCAACGCAAGACCGTGTTAATTCCATAAAAATTATCCGAATTGGATTGCTGAGTTGATTTCTCGAGAGAAAGCATCGGAACGGTTCGAAGATGAAGTGCCGGAGTTGGGGCTGGGAAAAGCATCTGCAAAACGGAGGATTAAATGTCATCTCAGTTGTGAATAATTGCAAAAATACTCGGTTGTACGGTGAGGACCGTACAACATACCAAAAATTTTGCCAACATTGGAAATAATACAGTATAGGAAAAATTGATAGTAATAATCCCAACTATTGGCGGTCCGCTCATAATAATCCCAACTATTGATTATTACAGAATAATCCCAACTTTATGGACCTTCCGCCAATAATGGTCCCTATGAATAAATTCTTGTAGTTTCTAAAGTGGATGAGATGAGATATAACAAGTAATCCCTATAAATAATCTCAACTTTTAATTTTTACGCTTAATTTCTATTTAAAATTCACTTTTTATAGAGGTAATACATGGTCATGGACCATTATTGGCGGATAGTCTATATAGTTGGGATTATACAAAAATAATCAATAGTTGGGATTATTTTCAGCGGACCAGCAATAGTTGGGATTATTATTTTCAATTTTTCCTACAGTATAATATTTTGATAGGTTGCTATCGTCATCCTTATTCCTAGTTAAATTTGTATTTACGAGGCCGTTTATGAATTTGAAAGGCCCTATTTTAGATACCAAAATGAGGGCCCCATTGAAATTGAAAATAAAATTTAAATGGCATAATATACAACAACAAACTCTTACAATGTTCCACAAATTAACACCGTGGTCCATACTTGTCCAAAAAAAACACCATGGTCCATACTAATTATTGCGTATAGGAAAAACGGTTAAATAGATCCTCCGTCCTCATACTATTACGAAAAAGTCAATTAAGTCCTTGTGGTTGATATTCACTCAATTAGGTACTCCAACTTTACAAAAACGTTCATATCCTCCATTTACTAGGTAACCAAACGGAAATTGTCCTAAATAGGACTAATGAGTTCCTAAAAAGCACAAATAGAACTACTACTTTTTAAATTCCCTAAAGAGGACAAAACATTGATTTTCTACCCTAAATACCCCTAAGAGTATTAATTCATAATGAAATGCTTTAAATCATAATAAAATCATAAAAAAACGTAAAAAAATATTTTAAAAACGTAAAAAAATTATAAAAAATTTATAAAACATTTATAAAATAAAAAATTTAAATTTTTATTTTTTTAATTTTTTTTTAAAAAATAATAAAAAATAGTAAAAACCCATAAAAAAAATGAAAAAAATTATGGATACCTTTCCCCCGCCTCCCGCCGCCTCCCAGCACCACCACCTCTGATTGGTGAAATTTCTTCCACTTTTGGTAAAAAACTGCCATCTTTTTCTGAAAATGCCAAAAAGATGGCATAATTACTCTTCAATATGCCAACATTTTCAATTAATATGCCATCATTATGGCATTATTTAAAATGTTGGCATATTTTTCTCCGGTGATGGGAGCTGGTGGTGCTGGGGGTGGCAGGGGTGGTAATGTTTTTTTTTAATTTTATGATTTTTTTAATTTGTTTTTTAATTTTTTTAATTTTTTTTTTAATTTTTTCAAAAAATATTTTTATTAATTTTCTATTATTTTTTTACGATTTTTAGTATTTTTTTATGATTTTATTATTAATTAAAACATTTCACAAGTTACAAGGGTATATTTGTCCAAACAAACATAAATAGTCCTATTAAGGGAATTTAAAAAATGTAGTCCTATTTGTACAATTTTCCCACTTTTTAGTCCTATTTAGGGAATTGACTCGTAACCAAACGGTTCACCGGTCACTATGCTTATGTGGTGTATGGGTAACCCATTTTTCCTTTTCTTTTGTCTTCTTCCATCCTCCAAGAGACAAAGTCTCCGGCGAACTGGAAGTGAAATTGCCTGTGAACGGACAAGAAGACCGGAGGCAACTCAGGGGTTGGCTAATTCTTCTTCTTCCACTCCTTAATACGGCCAATGGCGACTTGGATTTCAGTTGAAACGTGAAGGCGATTGGAAGATATTGCCCTTGCCGCTACATCTCCTATGTTTCTGTTGCTTCAACAACGTAAAGGATGCCGGAGAATCAGACTAAATATTCATCACTTAGATCGAATTGGGATTGTTACCAGTAGATCCATACCTGATACTCATGGCTTCCATGGACATGTAACTCAAGTACCACAGTCAATTTCAAAAACAGATGCGAAGCAAGGTGGTTTTTCCTATGGAGAGACCTTTTGGCTTCTAATTTAAGCTTCAATGCTTGAACAACAAGTTGAAGAATATGGGATGGATGAGGATTCAGTAGATAACTGGGGAAGAGACGATCTGGCTTTGCCAGAGAGAATAAAAATGAAGATAAAGTTAATAAAAAAAATTAAATATGACATGGATTCCATTTAAGCTCCTGATTGGGTGGTTATTATGTACGAGTACTTAACTGACTTTTTTGTAATAGTACAAGAACCTATTTAACAGTTTTTCCTACATATATTATACCCCATAACATATTTTTTATTATTAGTTTATTACGGAGTACTGTACTTCTACATTAAATTACGGAGTATAATAATACTACTACCTTATTTGCAAGTCGGAAATTGGTATAGTGAGATACAAAGCATTCAACCTTCAGAGTCCAGGCTATAATCTTACCCACCACCGACTATGTCAAGCACGTTTCCTTTCAATCAATCGAGTTGTTCAAGTTCTAGTCAAGCACGTTTTCTCTCTAGGGTTTCGACTATGTCGGCCGCTGGAGCCTTTTTCCGATTTCGACTTTGTCGAAGATCGGTTTTGCTATCCCTTGGTCGCTGGTACTCGGTTGGAGTCCAGGTCAGACGCGGAGGGCGGAGATTGGTGGAGGAAGGCGGATTTGCTGTCATGGCTCGAGGAGATCGGCACTGTGGTCAAGGTTCGAGGATGCAGCGTTGCTGTCGTCGTTGGAGAAGATTAGCGCAGCCTATCCGTTTACTCCGGTCGCACGGAGCAGGGATGAGTCTGGTTTTGCAGGGACGGAGGATTGATGCACGGTCTTTGGCAACCAAAGGTCATGGAGGATCAATTAGCATGGTACCGGTGGTACGACCTCCTCCTGAACCACCACCATGGGATGTACGAGGTGCCAGAGTTCGCGAAAGCTTTTCTTGTAGTTTTTATCTGTTTGTTATTCGTTTTCTAGTGTCTATTTTTGTTGTTGGCTTTGACAGTTTGTTTGAGTTTTTTGCCTCTCTTTATGTCATTGGGTATAGTTGGATCTATGGGAACAGGTTTGGCTGTGTCAAGCCCACTACATGGTTAGCGATTCGTGTAACTCTCTCAGGGGTGACCGTCTCAAAGTCTCACCATAGGGTTACAGTCGTAGTTGTTGGAGTTTCAGTTGGTGTCAATTTTATTTTCCTTTTACTTGATGTAATGATCCTGAATCTTTTGATATGAATAAAGGCTTGTTTGATGATAAAAAAAAAATTAATACTACTACCTAATTACCATGTAAAATAATATCAATAGTGTTTTTTATTGTGACTTCTTTACGTAAATTGTTCTTTTCTGATTTGGTAATCAAAACAATATAAATAGTGTTATACTGTGTCAAAAAAACCTAGTATTTTCTACGTCCACTTAAAATTGTCCCAATTTTTCTTTTCGGTTCGTTTCATTAAGATTGTTCCAATTTTTCTTTTTGATCCTACACTAAATTTAGTAAAATTTGTGTGGTTCAAGTCATTTTACTTTATTTTTACTTTATCAATTCAATATCAACCACATAAATCCACCTTTAATGGTATGTGTGTCACCCCTCATGTCCCACTGTTAGTGAAATGAAGGGAGCATATTTAGAGAAAATTTGACTTTGCACCTCACTTTTTGGGCGTAATTGAACTTTGCACTCCATTTTTTTTAAAAAAAAAAAACTTCAATGTTGTACTTCATTCTACTTAAAAAATCATTTGACTTTGCACCGCATTTAGAACTCTTTCTTCACAAAATGTTATGTGTTGGGTGCTGATGGTACCATGGATTACAACCATGGTCCAATTACGAAATTATCATTAAAACTTAAAAGCCCATAAACGGGATCAAGCCCTCAACGGGATTAGCCCTTAACAGGATATGCCATAAACGGGATTAATATTAATTAGCCAATGGGCCTAATTAGCCAATGGACATCAAACCTCAAGCCTAGATGGATTTCTAATGAGGTCGGACTTTTCTTAGGGCTTACGTGGCAGGCTATATCGTTCGCGCATAGCTATCTAGCAGCAGGCACAAACAAACGGAAGAAACGTAGACCTAAAGGAGATAATCATTGCATAACGTCCAAGACGTTACAGGAGTCTATTTCGATTAATGAACATTTATTGTATTAGTTTCCTCCTAGAATACTAGTTCCTAAGGTCTATAAATACTTCATGTATATTTCCTATCAAAAAAAATTCAAAATAAAGTGCAAAGTCTAATATATCACTCAAAATGTGGTGTGCAAAGTTTAATTCCCCAACATAAAATGTTTACTTTTAGTGAAAATACATGTGCATTTTTTATGCACATTAGTTGTGTTTTGGTTTTACTGATGACAGTCTCGTGCAATAAACTTCAATCATTGTTTACAGAGATTGATCTTATGCTAATTCATTATTCTGCTCATGATTCGCAATTGGCATTGATTTTTTATGGTAGTAATTACGTAGTACTCCTGTATAATCTGGTTAAGAAAGCGGGAATCATTTGAAATTAGGGATTATTTCGGAGTTTGATATTGAATGTGTAATGTGTTTCCAATTAAGAGTTTGATAGCTACGTGTATTGCAGCTCGTAAATAAAAACTACAATGAACTTTCCATACCTATAGAATGTGAGAGTTATATGAGAAGGACTACAAGGTGTTTAAATAATACATAAGCTAGAGTCCTATGAGTGTTGAGGCAAATAGCCTCACACCAAAAGCCTAACACAATGCTCTTAGAGGGTGTTCAGATTATTTAGATGGATAAAATGGTGGATGAAGAAACCTAATGATGAGAAGAGATGTTTGAGGCTCAATTCGTGTTTGAGATTATGTAATATGCTCAGAATTAGTGTTCAATTCCCTCTATAGAGTTTCGAATCCGAGACTCATATAGTGTAGGAGAGTCGGTCAAAGACCGGTTGACCGTGTAGTATATTAGCCTTGTAGTATAGTATAGGAAAGTAGGTCAAAGACTTTACATTAGTACATTACACTAATGTTTAGCCTTAATCTCTACATACTCTAATCAACACTCTAGAAGCTAGATTCAAGTGGAAGAATAAGTAGTGAAGTGTTTCACTCTACTAAATTGTTGTGTCAAGATATAGATTCAATTTCTTTTTTAAAAGGATTCTTAAGAACCCCTAAATTCAAATTAGAAACTTATATATGGTCCTGATGAGGCTGAAAGGCTGGCTCCGCGTTCTCCGGTCGCCTGTCATGAACCCCAACGACGGATGCCGAACATGAGTTGCGCCGCCGCAATCAAGAACTCCATCGCTTTCCGCGTCGTTAAAAGCTCCACCAAGTTGGTGATTGTCTTCATCCTTAGCTCATCCGCCATCTCCAATATCTCCCCCAGCTTCTCCATTTTCGCATCTATCTTCCCCTCGCCCATCATCCCCATTATATCGCTCCCACCGTTCTGCCACCAATTTCAAATATCAAAACATTAACATGAAATTTTAATATAGATTCTGGCCGTACAAACACAAAAATATGTACTTAACATGTAACGTTTATAAGAGAATTCTCAAAACAAGATTATACCATTGCATATTTTCATGTAGGAATTACACTATTTTATACTATGTCCATGCTTTAAAACTTTGCAAAAGTTTGATTGATAAAGAAAAAGAATGATTGATGAGTAAAAATTGAATGATTGAGATTCGTGTAGAGAGAGAAATAATATAAACAACAATTTCACTTATTAAAAGGGGAAGTTGCAAATTTCTTTAGAGATCCAAAAAAGAATCCAAAAACAAGATGACAAAGTTATACTACGTACTAGTGAAAGAAAGAGTACTCTTCTAATAGAATAAATAACTCCTATTTCAGGAAAAAACCCATACGTGGTACTTGATTCTATTTTAGAATTTTTGCCTACGTTTTGTATCTTAGTTTGACTAATTTAATTTCTATGTTTATTACTTCGTATATTGAGTAAAACTTACTACGAGAGTGTTTGCAATAACTTGCGCTTTAAAAAATGATTTAAAGAAAAGTACTTAGTAAAAGTTGGTAGGGTTAAAGCAAAAATTGATTTTGAAAGTAAAAATTGATAGTGTTTGGTAAAATATATGCTTTTGTGTAATAGAAAAGGTAAGAAACTGATCCTAACTTTTAACTTTTTAGTGTTTAATTTAAGCAAAAGTTACACTTGAAAACAGTCTTTTTAGGTACTTTCAAACAAAAGTCTAGAAATGCTTTTCTTAAACGTTTGCAAACACTGCCCACATATGTTAGAAATTTTAAGCTTTTAACAACATACATTTCTCTAACTCCACCAAGGCATGCATATGCATACCTGCCAATCGGAGAGTTAGTCGGTGATGATATTTTCCTGTTGGACTGTTGGACGGTTTCACACTGGAGTTCGCTGACGCGGCGGAGCTGGGAAGGGGTGAGGTCGCCGAGGTCTCCGTTACGGATGCCACGGAGGATGTCGACAATGTGAGACTCGAAGAGAATGCTGGACTCGGTGTAGAGAAGGTGGAAGAGGGTGGTGGGGCGCCAGCCGCCGATCCAGTGAAGCGAGCGCTCGAGGGAGGATGCCCACGGGGAGGTGAATACGTGGAGGACGTCACGCTTCGCGGCGGCCGAATTGGCCCTGGAGTAGTTGTGGCAGTGAGACATGACCTTGTAGACAAGCCGTTGGTGCAAGTTGTGGTGGTCAACGGTGGTCGTCGCACCGGGAGCTTGCATGAGCTGGTGTATCATTTCCTTCAACTGCTGCAACCATGTCTCGTGGAAACACTTGAAACTACTCATTATTCTCAGCTATTTTCCTTAATTTCTTCAGAATGATAATAGGTTGGTGGAGGATGAAATTATTTGATTGTATAACGTTAGTTGCTGCTTCATGCGTGTCAGATCATTATGCCACATGTTGTTTGATGTAGTGATGAGTCATCATATAATTTGACATGTGGTCATGTGGAACTAATGTACATGTCATATGGTCAAAAAGTCTGTTAATATATTTTTCAAAAGTCCATACGTACAATTGCTCCGTATAAACAAAAAATTGAAGGTCTTTTTAGTCCATACAATATATGAAGTAATATATTTAGCTTTACATTTTGCAAAAAAAAAAAAATTGAAAAAATTTTGTTTATTATTGCTGTAGTTTATGTTGGTTTTCTTTTTAATTCATCATTGATTAATTCATCATTGATGCTAATAACAATCTTCGCTTAACCTAAACTATATTTTGATGTTATATGAAGAACATTATATGGGCATCTATTTTAATGTTTAACTTGCTTAGCTTTAAATTTAAGAAATTGTGGACTATTCAATTCAGTGAGAGGATTGGGATCACTTGTGAGCTACGCTAATGAAATGTTAGTTGAATTCTAGCCTGATGATATTACTCACATGGTTTTTTTTAACACCTGACCTCACGAGCTTCCACTTTTTGATTAGCTTTCTCTATCATGGTTTTTTCGATGGGGTTGGTGATTTTCTAATCCTGTGAGAACTCTCAACGAGAACACTAGTGATACAACCCCGAGGGTTGATCAAGAAGCTCTTTCTAGCAAAAGGTAGCATGAGAAAAGTGCTCTTCTTTTTTCATAATGTTCGTTGCGATGTAACAAATGCAACATAATGAACGTCAAGCTAGAACTGTCACTAACAATAATACATTACAAATTCCTTAGGTTTTATTTTGGAGTAAATTTTTAGGAATTTGGAGGGTTAAGTGTATATCTTAATATTCATATTTGAGGTTTTACAAAATAGAAGGAATAAAATTTTAGAGGACTAAGTAAGTATATAAAATGTCATCCAAAGTCTCCCCTCGAAAACCATCCACATAAACAAATTTCTATAGTACACTAGAGTGTTCTTCAACCTCCTAGACAGGCAAAAAAAAGTCTCTTGTCAATTGTGTTGACCATATTTGGACCATGCCTACAAAAGGATGTTACATGTTGTGTCTATCTGGTAAAGTGGTACGTACGAGACTACTAACTTTCTTTGTGTTGGTAGTTCATTTTTTGACGTAAGAATGTTAGCTCAAAATTGTGACAGTCTGTTTTTTAGAATCTCTTACATAAGCAAATTCAATTTAAAATCTAGCACATTTTGTACTTCAAATCAAAGTGTGTCAAAAACCAACTTTATTTATTAAAAAAAAAAAAACATGCACCGCAAACCATTATTGTGCCCATTAAAATTTAAAACTATCGGCTAATTGAAATACTCGAGCGTCATTAAAAAGATCAATACACATGTTCTTCAGCAAATCATGACAATTTTGACAAGTTTCTTGTTTTCAATTTCAAACTTCCTCCAATTGTGAAATGCATGTCCAATTATTTAATTCTTAGTATTGCTCTAAGGATTATTCAACAAATCCTTTGCCAATAGCATCATTGACTCATCACTAACCTACATTAATATGTTGAGTAAAAATGTCACTAGCATTATAATACTAAATGGAATAATATGATAGTTATACATGTCATCCGATATGCATTCCTTCATCCAAATCGCAACCCAAGCTTTACTGTCATTACTAGAATAGTAAGATGATACATTTATAAAGAGCGTATAATTGAACATTAGTCAATACATTACAAATGATTGCATTACATATGATTGTTGTAATTTTATTATAAGGTCGTTTTTTACGAGTGTGTTGCCAATTGTCCGATATTTTTTTGTTCTACTATCTCGAATTATGAGATTTGTGGTCTTTGAGTTACATCTTAATTAGAGTAGAAAGAGTTATCCAACATCAATGATCCCATACAAGTTATCTGTGTATCTTTTTTAGTGAGCTATATTGTGAATATAATTTTATAACAAATAATAATTGACTCAAAATTTAGAAACATTTGTCAAGCCTTCTATTCTTTACATAAACGATCCATGTAATACTCCATCAACGTTTTTGGACTTGTGGTCCAACTCAATACATATTGCTGCCAGCAAACATAATAATATCAAGTGATTTTACTTGTTTAGATGATTTAACTTACATTGAAGTTTTCATAAATAATACCGCAAACACGGTTTGCAAGAACCAGCAATCTGCATACTAACTGTTGTTGAAATGTTAGCATGCACGCAACCAATATAGATACCTACACATTTTTAATGATATATATACTAGTAAACTGATAATGTTGTAAACTAACTCCTTAGTAACAATAAAAATTGTAAAGCATATCAAGATAAAACACTTTAGCTATCACATCCCCGTCAACCATTTCCATTGGAATAAGGTATTCCGATATTTCGTGGTTCCCATTACACTTTGTATTTCTTTCCTATTGTCATCATAATTTTAAATAAAAATATGTAAATGAGATGAATGATGTTTTTTACAATACCATACTTTGAAAAGGTTTGAACACTATGGAGATAACATTGTAAAATGCGAAAACTTGGTTAACATTTTACTCAATTTAGTTTTATACTCGTAAGAAAATAATATTAGCAAAGTATACATACATCTGGTATAGTAATCTCTGATGATCTTTCATTATACAATGGTGTGTGTTCATTGGATTGAAGTTTAGATAACACGCCAATGTGTTTCCCTTAATCTTATGATTAAACAACTTTATGCCAAAGTAAGATTGTTTTTTCTTTTTGTGATTTTATTTTGTTTACAGTAGTGGATGGTGGGGATGTGAACTTTTCTTCAAGAGGTGAGTTAAAAATTTTCAATATGCTCTGTGTATTTATTGAGTTTGTTAGATGAGAATTTGTAGTGTAGAGAATGCAGTGACCATTAAAAGAGATCCAAAATGAGCCTCTTGTGGAGAGTACTCGTTAGTGGCATTCTTCACAATAATACGTCTTCATAATAGACTGTTTTGGACTACCTTTAGTGGACAATGCATTTTCCATACATAGAAATTTTCCTCTAACAAGCCCAATAAATACGTAGAGCATATTGAAAAATTTTAACCCTCCTCTTAAAGAAAAGCTCACATCTCCACTATCCACTATTGAAAACAAAATAAAATCACAAAAATAAAAAAGAATCTTAATTTGGCATACAGTTGTTTAATCATAAGATTAAGAGAAATTCGTCAGCGTGTTATCTTAACTACAATCCAATGAACACGCCATTGTATAATGAAAGATCATCAGAGATTATTATACCAGATGTATGTATACTTTGCTAATATTATTTCCTTACAAGTATAAAACTAAATTGAACAAAATATTCATTGGGTTTTCACATTTTACAATGTATCTTCATTGTGTTCAGACCTTCTCAGAGTATGGTATTGCAGAAAATATCATTTATCTTGTTTACATATTTTTATTTTAAATTATGACAATAGGAAAGAAATACGGAGTGAAATTGAATTCACAAATGGGAACCACGAAAATATCGAAATATCTTGTTCCAATGGAAATGGTTGACAGGGAGGTAATAGATAAATTGTTTTATTTTGATTTGTTTTGCCATTTTTATTGTTACTAACATGGTTATTTTAAGCATTTCCAACTTACTAGTAGCATTAAAAATGTGCAGGTACTTACATTAGTTGTGTGCATGCTGACATTTCAACAACAGTTAGTATGTAAAAATGCATCTTGTTGGTTCTAGCCAACCATGTCTGTGGTACTACATAAAAAAAGTTCAATAGAAGTTAAAAAATCTAAACAAATAAAATCACTTGATATTATTATGTTTGTTGGCATCAATATGTACTGGGTTGGACCACAAGCCCAAAAACGTTGATGGCGTATTAGATGGATCGTTTTATGGGAAGAATGAAGGCTTGACAAAGATATCTAAATATTTTCATGTTGTTCATTTCGTATTCTTTTTAAAGACGTACTCTAAAGTTGAATGTGAGTACTATCACACATATATTTGTTCCAATAAATGATGAAAAGTTGCATTGATTCATGTTGGTTATTAACATTAGAAAGACCGTTGTTGGACTCCAAAAGGAGCACAATAACATCAGGTGAACGGAGGGCAACAAGAAAAGTGATAAATATGAAATTATTAAATACTTGAGGAAAAAATGGCAGGCGTGTGACTATTTAACTTTTCATTTCCAATAATATAAACTTTTTGAATTTTCCAATAATGTGACCAGACACACCTTCTCTCCAGACACGTTCTTCCCGGACAGCTTCTCCCAGAAGCTTCCTTTCTTCATCGCCTCCTACAAACCGGCTTCTCTCGTTTCTGTCCGTCTTCATCGCCTCCTACTCCAAGAAGCTTGTGAGTTGCTCGAAGATGGATCGAAGTCTGCCAGCATCTCCTTCTTCACCGTCTCTCTCGCCGTCGCTGGTCCCGTCGCCACCGCCGTTGCTCGTCGCCTCTCTGCGCCGCCGCCTCTCCTTTTCTTCTCGTCCGCATCTCCGTCTTTTCTCTCCGAATCCAGCGACGAAGACCAGATCTCGTCCGTGCCAGAGATGAAAACCAGATCCTGACGGTTTCTCCTTAGATCTACGCGATGTTTTGCAATGGTGAAGGCGGCGATTTGAGGTGGGGCCTCGCCACAACCTCCGGATCGCTCCTACGATGGCTAGGGTTTCAATTGCATTCCACAATTAATCGATTTCAGCTGCTACGGTTCTGACAGCGGCTTGGTTGAGCTTGGTTGGCCATGGTTGAGCTTGGTTGGCCATGATTGAACGGTGGTGGGGTAATGGTTGACAAAGGAAGGGCTGGTGGTATTGCAGTGACAGGTTGCACAAGGACCATGGTGGGGGAGGAGTACAATGGTCACCTGCCGGACGGCGGTCGTCACTTGCCATGTGTGGGCGGCCAGAGTTATTTGAAATCTATGATGTGCTTGTAATTGACCGTATTTGTGTCACTTTTATCATTGGCCCGGACGGGATGGCGGCGGTGGATGTGGCCGGAGTGGCGGTAGTGGATGTGACATGGACGGCGACTGTGTACGGGTAGGACATTCACGGTAGCTGACGGGTGGGCAATTACAGTGACCGGAGTCACTATGGAGGGTGGATGGGTAGTCACTATGAAGGCGGAGTCATTGTGGCGGTGGGGCAGTCACTGTGGCGGTGGGGCAGTCACTGTGGCCGGCGAGGCAGTCACTGTGGCGGTGGGGGGTAGTCACTGTGGCGGGGGGCAGTCACTGTGGCGGTGGGGCAGTCACTGTGGCAGTGGGGCAGTCACTGTGGCGGAGGGGCAGTCATTATGGCCGGTGGACAGTCACTTGACCGGAGTCACTTTGGCCGGAGTCACTTTGGATTGCAGGGGCTAATTTGATGTTGGTCACATTTTTAGAATTTTTAAAAACGTTTCACTTTTTTGTGTTTTATCCTATTTTTAGTAATATCCAGGCCAAAAGGCCATAAGATAAATTTCGTGAAAGTAGTATCATATTACTCCTTTTAGTATTATAATGCTAGTGACATTTTTACTCAACACACCAAAGTAGGTTAACTATGAGTAAGGATGTGATTGGCAATTGATTTGGTGAACAATCTTTACAACAATATTATTAAGGATCAAATAATTGGATAGCCATTTCACAATTGGAGGAAGCTTGAGATAGAAACAATAAATTGTTAAAAACTACCATGAGCTGATGAAGAACACGTGTATTGGTTTTTTTAATGACGTTTGAGTATTTCAATTAATAAATGGTTTCCAATTTTGATGGACACGATAATGCTTTGTGGTGCATGTTTTTTCAAATAAATTTGGTTTGTGACATACTTTGATTTGATGTACAAAATAAGCTAGGATTTAAATTGGGTTTGCTGATGTAAGATGATACAAAAAAACGCAACACTACATGAGTGTCACAATTTCGACCCAACATTCTTACGATAAAAAGGTAATCACTTGAGCTTACTAACAATAGTGTTTGGCACTTCGGCATCTTTTCAAAAAAAAAAAACAATAGTGTTGGCAGTTTAATTAAACGACAAAAATAATAAAGTGCTTATTATCATTTATCTACCCTAACTCCTTCATGCCAATGGTCCTTTCACGAGATAGCAATCAACATATACATTGGGCGGGTTGAAATCTTAGTTATGCAACATATGCAACAAAGTATGTAGTGGATACTATGCCTAGAAGTTTTGTAATTTTGGAGGACAAAGTGTCCATCCACAAAAGTTTTGTAAGGAGAGGATTTGTAGTTAGTATACCTTGAAGTTTATTTTCTTTCATTAATTTGATAATCCAAATTTTAGTGGATATGTTTTGAATTTAAAAAAGCGGATAAATAACTAAATCCTACTCCGTATTTCATAGTCCATAGTCCATACAATCTTGTTAATCTAGCTATATTTAACTATTACTACCTTCGCCCCCCTAAGTTTGGGACAAGAGAAGGTGACACGGTTATTAATAAAAGTGGGTTTATGTGATTGGTATTGAATTGATAAAGTAAGAATAAAGTAGGAATGATTTAGAACCACACAAACTTTACCAAATAAGGTATGTGACAATCTTAGTGGGACGGACCGAAATGGTAAAATGGGACAATCATAGCGGGACGGAGGGAGTATTAAGGATGTTTTTACTTGGACTGTAATTTGCTGGTCTGGTCTGGTCTGATGGTCTGGTCTGAACTGGTCTGGTATGGTCTGGTAAGGTCTGATTTCTTTGTATTTTTATAACTATCCAAGTCTGGTCTGGTCTGGTCTGAACTGGTCTGGACTGGTCTGGTCTGGGGCAAATTACAGTCCAAGTAAAAACATCCTAAATTACATCACTCTGTGATTAATTCACTATTATGACAGGAAAATAAAGATGTTTCCATGATCAAACCTAAAATCATTATCAAATAAGGAGAGCCATCAATTAATCAACTCTCCATGCAAATCAAATATTTGATCCTCCCACCGTACACACTAGAATAGTACACCACTTTTCAACATTATACTACGTAATATAATACGAACTTAGAATATTAAATTATATGCATATACATCATGTAAGTCTCTCATTTCCCACTCCCGTTTCATTTTTCATTTTATAACGTCATAATTTTTTGGGTATGTTTGGCACGACTAGTTGAAAAGATACTTTTCCTTCAAAAAAAAACTGAAAAGAAACTTTTGTGAGCTTTTTAGTAACTATTAGCTTTTAGTGACTGAAAAGATCTTAAAAAGAAAAGATGGTAGCTGTTTGGTAAAAAGCCGACTGTTTGGTTTAGTTTCGTTTGGTATACAAGCTGTTAGGACAAATTAATACTAAAAGGCGCGGTCTTTTCTCGGATGTTACTCCCCGTGTCATCTAAGAAAAGATCTTTTGTTTTTTGAAAAGCTCTTAAATTTTGTCATGCCAAACAAACAACTAAAATTTTTATTTCCCGGTTACATAAGTGTACCTATATCTTCATTTGGTATAAATATAATGGGATCTATTTTTACTTGATTGAATAATACGTAGTAAATGATAATTTTTTCATCATTGTCAAGACTCAGAGACTTTTTGCTCGAGAATATCGTGGAATAAAGCAAAATGACTCACTAAATTGTTTGAGCTTTTTTGTTATGAGAGAACAGTCAGTCAATGCAATTCTAGACACGATTTTCATCATGAGTCATGCGAAAACAATCTTTTTGTGCATTAGTACAAAATTAAGGATCGTAAGGTTGCGTTCATCCGACCCCCTAACCCACCGTAGGTGAAGTCTTTATGGTACTGGGGTAAGGTTGTTGTAATAATACTTCCTCTGTCCCTCAATTAAGTTCTTTATTTGACTTCACACATATTAAGAAAATAAATTTGATTTTAATGTGGAGTACCCTGTTTTGCACTGTTTGACACTGTTTTGACGTAGATTATTTGCCAAATAAGGAAAGCATTGGAGTGTGAATTTAATTTAAGAACTGCCCAAAAACGAAAGTGGGAACTTAATCAGGGACGGATGAGTAATTGATAAAGAAGAGTCAATCTTTTAAAGTGTAATCAAAATTGATTTTGTGGTGTGCATTTCTTCCGCCTCGGTTGTGGCAATACTTGCAATAGACAATCAATAGTATTTGACATACGATCTTATTTTGATCTGCTATTCAATAATACGTTTACCCATTGACAAAACCAGGTTGTTAATTGTTACCCTCTACTAGAAAGGAAACATCACTCGATTTTGGAAGAGAAAAAAAACTGGTTTCAATTAGCAATATCTTACCTTAGCTACTCTCTGCCATTGGAGTCTTCGTCTGGCCGCCGCTGACCTGGAGACGGAAGACTAGGAGTCGTCGTCAGCCGCCACCCACAGGCCACAACCTGGCCGCCGGTCACAATGGAGAGAGTGAAAGCTCTGTTAACTCTAACAAAATCTGTTCACAGAGTGACAGAGGGATGAGAATTGGAAATTAAAAATAAGTTGCATATATACCAAGTGCTCAGAAATATCCCCATTTTAATACCAAATACTCCTAAATGTTTCTCTTACCTTGACTTTTGTGGTCTTCTTGGTAGACGTTTAACTGTAATTATCTATTAATATATATCTATAAAATCAATAATAAATTGACATTTGAATAATACATATTATAAAGAATTACTTAAAAAAATTAGGGATAAAATATTATTAATTTTGAAAAATTAACAGTCAAAATTTAATAAATTAAAGTAGGACAAACATTTAGGGACGGAGGGAGTATTTTGTAATGAATAAATTATTATAATTTCTACCAATATAGATCAAAGTCTACTAAATTAACAATCAAAGTGGTATATTGACATGACATCCACAATTCGAGGGTAATAAGTTTCGTCTTTTGGACATGAATTGATTTTTCTTATTGAAAAGTTGAGCTCATATTCTTAGGGAGTGTTTGCAATTGCTTCAACTTTAAGAAAGTGATTTTTTAAAGTGATTTTGGGAAAAGTGATTAATAGTAAAAGTGGGTAGTGTTTGAGAAAAAAGTGATTCTTAAAAAGTAAAAGTTGGTAGTGTTTGGTAAAATAAGTACTTTTTGTGTAATAGAAAAAGTGAGAAGCAGTTTAAAGCACCCTTTTACCTGCTTCCAGCTTTTAACTTTTAAGTGATTAATTTAAGCAGAAACTGTCATTTGAAAACACACTTTTCAACTTTTTTTAAGCCAAAAACTGAAAAGCGCTTTTTTTAAGCAAACCCAAACACTGCTTTAATCTTGAGTCCTTGACAACCGTTCTAAAATTTAATACTCACTCGTACAAATTGATTTGGGGAAATTTTAATAAGCACACATGACATGTCATTTTTATGAAATAAATTATAAATTCATTTAATAATTATAAATTCGGCTTATATAGATAACACATAATTCAGATTATGGGTAAACCGACAAAAAGATTCCTGATAGGCGTTGTCCCGCGAACCAGACTCAGAACTAATCACCTCCAACGAAGCAATATAATTCGATAATCCATTAATAGGCACAAATGAGCCAAAGACGTGTTAGAATCCCACACCGGAAAACTTTGAATCAACAAAGTGCTATATTAAGATATGAGTTACTCCTCCTATAAGGTTGACCTTTTAGGATGGAACCTTGGATCTTAACATGGTATCAGAGCCTAATCGATCTATGGTGTGGGCCCACTTATGAAAAATGACGACACGACAAAAAAAATGAATGACAAACGGACAAAAAAATGAATGACGACACGATAAAAAAATGAATGACAAACGGACAAAAAATGAATGACGGCACGATCCAGACGAAGTGTCTGGTCGTGAGGAGGGGTGTTAGAATCTCACACCAGAAAACTTCGAATCAACAAAGTACTATATTAAGACATGGGTTACTCCTCCTATCAGGTTGACCTTTTAGGATGGAACCTCATATCTTAACAAGACAGTTACCATAATCCTCTCATCACCCACATCCAAACCCAACGTCTTACAATCAGGAACAATAAAAATAATGCAAAGTACTAAACCCAACGTCTTACAATCAGGAACAATAAAAATAATGCAAAGTACTAAACAGCAACAGAAGTCACTAGAATAAAAAAAAACATAAAAAATAAAGGGAAAATGGAAACTAATAATCCAACCTTTTAGCGGTCTTCTTACAATAGTCCCACCTTTTGATTATTCATGAATAATCCAACCTTTGCACCTCATCTTCATTCACTGGTCCCTGACCGGTTGATGACCTACCATTCCAAGTTAATTTTCTTATCTTTGCAAACCATTATACCATAGATCTCACCTTTCACATAGATAATATTTTGCAAAGATAAGAAAATAACATGGAATAACATGTCATCAACCGGTCAGGGACCAGTGAATGAAAATGAGGTGCAAAGGTTGGATTATTCATGAATAATTAAAAGGTAGGACTATTGTTAGAAGACCGCTAAAAAGTTGGATTATTAGTTTCCATTTTCCCAAAAATAAATCCTCTGTCCGCTTCTGCTAAGCTGCACAATCATTCGAAACTGCTGCCTCCACTCTGACTTTAACAATTATAAACTAAGATCTTAAAGACGATTTTTTAGAATGCTTTAAAAATGTAGGAAATACTTTTATTTTTTATTAAACCCTTTATCTACAGAGTTTATTAGGAGCATATTTGTTAATTAATATTTCCAGTTGTTTATCAGTCTTGTCAGCTAATTGTTTTACTCCATATGAAATAGGAGTACATAATTTTTTATTTCACACGCTAAATTAAAAAATGTCATAATAACAATTTAACTATTTTTCATGTAATTATTTCTTAAATTTATTAATAATAATATTATATATATATATATATATATATATATATATAATTTTTTTATAATTCAGCAAATTCAGTAACTTCAACCACAATTTCTTAAAATTCAGTAAATTCAATCGATTATGTCATATTTAGTGTTATCAAATGGGCTCTAATTTAGATTGAATTGAACATTTATGTGCTATTTTCCGTTAGGCACATTTGTAAATTTGTGTTAATATGTTATTTGATTTTGTTATTGTTTTCTCATTTGCAGGATTAATATTTGAAACATATTTCGTATAATAGTTGAAGTACATTTTTTTTTTAAGTAATAGTTGAAGTACATTAAAAAAACAAAGTTGCATATACTGCTTGGTTTGCTAAATTTTGGAAAACGTTGTTATGAGAAAATTATGATCCATACGCATATGAATCGTGACTCAAATATAGGACTTAGGAGGAGTTTTACTGTTTTAGACTTTTAGTCATGCCATGTAAATACGAAGTGTACATTATCAATCACGTCTGAAAATGAAATCTATTATCACTATAGAACCCCAAAACTGACCCCAAAACTGTCAACAATAAATCTATAGGACCAAATTACCACTATTATCAAGTATCAACCCTCTCACATCGTTATTTAGTGGTTATTCATCATCAAGCCCGATCACGGTTTGATGAATTGTTGTAGATCTATTCATCAATCTCATATATCTTCTTTTTCATTTGGCAAAACTATCAAGTAGGCCCCCTACTAATACAGAAAAGTCAATTAAGCCCCTGAATTCAAAAACCACTTAATTAAGCCCACGAACTATAAAAAATGAGGCAAAACAGTCCTTTTAGCAGGATATTAACCGTTCCCAGTTAAGTTGCATGTGTGGCAAATGATGTGGCATGCTTTTACATTTTTTTTTATCTTTTTCTCTTTCTTTCCTTTTTTCCTTATCTCTTTTTAACCGCTTAATTACCTGCTAAAAGGACTGTTTTGCTTCGTTATATTTAGTTCGTGGGCTTAATTGGATGTTTTTTGAGTTCAGGGGCTTAATTGACTTTCTCGTACTAGTAGGGGGCCTATTTGACACTTTTCCCTTTTCATTTTGTAACACGTTATCAACACGAATTAACTCGAATTCTTTAGCATCATTGTCTCTTGCAGATATTAACATTAATATCTATTAATGTATTTAATTTAATCTTTAGCAATCACAATAAACAATTTGGCATTCGATCAAACTTTGGAAGTATGATTAGTTTTGTTTTTAAAAAATTGAAACCGTACATATCATGATTGTAATAAAAGAATTGAAGTAAGAATGAATAATATACTATACGTACCTTCAAGGCTTCAAGGCTTCATTTTTTTTCATACGAGTACTGAGTACATAATTCAGTCTTGTAAAATGATGTACCTGGAAAATACTATCGTATACTTCACACTTGATTGCAAAAGATCGATTGTGCTTCGTAATAATGAGGTAGTACGTAAGTAAAAGAAAGATGGTGAAAGAAGACACACGTGCTACCTCCGTCCCAAAATGATGGTCATGTATTTCCTATTTGAAGTGTTCCAAAATGATAGTCTCATTTCGTTTTGGTAAAGAAATTAAAGTAGACTATCATTTATACCCCTCATTTTTAATAAATAGTAAAAGTGAGAACAATACTTCGTATAATAGTTGATTATAAAAAAGATGATTACTTCGTATGAAATCTCAATAAATTACGTTTATACTCGAATGCAATGAAATAAAAAAGATGTTGATATTAAAAACATATTTGACTATGGGGTGTTTGGATCTGATTCTTAAAACTGAATCTGCTCGTTCAGGGAGCAGAAACAGAAGCTGGAGTGTTTGAGTGAAAGAGCAGAAGTGATTATGGTGCTCAAATTTACTCCCAGAATCAGTTTTTTTAGAAGCTGGGGTTGACCAGCTTCTGAAAACTAATTATGATTCTGCTTCTGCTTTAAAAAAGAAGCAGAAGCAGAAGCAGGATCAGTTCCAAACACCCCCTATGTCATTACCACAATGAAAACAATGTCAATGAGCCAACAGCCCAACACAAATAAAAAATATGTCAAAGATGACATGATTAGCCAAAAAGAAATGAAGCAATTCACTTAGAATTGAAATCATTTGAAAAACGCGATGTTTTCTGTAACACTTGAGATTAAATTGAAATGGATTAATAGTACTACTCATACCAACAAGATGCATCTCCTTTTAAGGGAGCTCATCACCAAGAACTCCAAAGTTAAGCGCGCTTGCACGGGAGTAGTCCTGAGATGGGTGACCCCTTGGGAAGTTTCTCAGGGCGCACACAAGTGAGGACAAAATGCGCAGAAAAGGCTAGTGGCGATTTGTGAGGACAGTACTAGAGGTCTGGAGTAACTACCTCGGGTCCTGCGGGGCCGGGGTGTTACATTATCGACCGATAATTCCCTACGCCAAAAGGGATAAAACTAGTGAGTTTTAAGTGGATATTTGTGTGAAAGTACAATGAGAAAAACAAAATTGTAAGATATAAAGCACAACTTATTGTCCAAGATTTTTCTCAGATGTCGTGAATTGATTATGAAGAGATCTATTTTCCAGTAGTTGATGCAACTGCATTAAGATGTCTTATTGGCATGTCTGTTTTTTAATGGACTCAAATGTGTCTAGTGGATTTAATGACTTCATATTTATATGGGTGACTCGATACATACATTTATATGAAAATTCCTAGTGGATTTAAAATGCATGAAGCTTATAGCTCAAAACCTCAATGCATATTTCCCCCTAAATTACAACAGCCATTATATGGACTAAAATAATCTAGACGAATTTGATATAGTCGTCTTAGTGAATACTTGCTCAAAGAAGGATACAAGAATGAACTAATTAGTCCATGTATTTTCATTCATCGATCAAATTCAGAATTTTCCATGATTGTAGTGCATGGTTATTACATTTAAACATTATTGGAATCCTAGATGAAAGTGAAAATACTGCAAAATATCATATGAAAGAATTTGAAATGAAAGATCTCGGGAGAACCAAAATTTGTCTCAGGCTTCAAATTTAGCCTTGAACATTTGAAGAATGGAATTTTCATCCATCAATAGAATTACACCGAGAATGTTTTGAAACGGTTCCATATGGACAAAGCTCGTCCTTTTACCGCACCAATAGTGGTTCGATCTCTCAGCATACACAATGATCCATTTTATCCCCGTAAAGGTAGGGAATAAATACTCATTCCCAAAGTGCCATACATGAGTGCTATTGGAGCTTTAATGTATTTAGCTAATAATACTAGACCAGATATTGCATTTTCTGTAAATTTATTAGCTAGGTACAACTCATGTTCAACAAGGTGTCATTGATACCATTGATCTTGGCCTATTCTACCACAACGATGCAAAAGGCATTTTAATCGAATATGCAGATGCTAAATATTTATCATATCCTCAAAAGGTGAAGTCCCATTAAGGGTATGTACTTACTTATGGTAGTATCACAATATCGTGGAGATCTATGAAACAAATTTTGATAGCAACATCATCAAATCAGTTGATTGCACTATTTGATACTTGAAGAGAATGTGTGTGGTTGTGATATATGATTCAACACATCCCAAACGAATGCAGTATGAAACCTCTTACTTATCATCTTACTGTGATCCATGAAGACAACATTGCTTGTATAGCTCAGATTAAAGAATGATACATCAAAGGAGATAGAACAAAGCACATATCACAAAAGTTTTTCTCAACTCACGATTTTGAGAAAGGAGGGAAGATCAATGTTCAACAACTCAGACTCAGTGAAATTTCTGCCGATCTCTTCACTATATTTTTACTCCCGAAGAAGTTCATAGAACTTATATAGGAAATCGGCATGCACCACTTTCGAAATTTATGCTAAGTTCAGGGGAAGTATTGGAATGTACTACACTCCTTTTTTCTTTATCAGATTTGTATCCCCTTGAGCTTTTCCTCATAAGGGTTTTAACGAGTCAGTACACTCAAATACAACAACGTTATATGTTGTAATTGAAATTGACAAGTTTTTTACACTATTTTTTATTTCCATTGAGTTTTTGACACTGGTTTGCACACTAAATTTTCCACGCAAGTTTTTAACTTTAAAGTTTTCACACAATAGATCTATTCAAGAATGAACATCAATCGGGAAGGGGTAAAATAATCAAATTGACAAGTGTGAATTGTTTATCATTGGAATCAAGCACATCAAGCTAGTTCTAATCTTTGTAATCATGCCACTCGTCTACTCATAGTCCTTGTATTCAAGAATAGACACATGTCTTGATTTACAAGTGACAACAAAATTGTGTAGAGTTATTTAGTGATGATTCATCATCATACCCAATCACTATAAATACGATCGATGAATTCTAGTAAATGTATTCAGAAAATTTCATATATCAAGAAGAATATCATGGGTTTACTATCTATACATCTATCTCATATGCTAGTATCTACTTTAAACCTTCTTGATTTCACAACAATAATTGATTTATGTATTCTACCTCTTAATGGTGTTACAAGTTTTAGTATTCTATTACTACCTCAGTAACGTAAAGATCTTGTCACTTTCTTTTTCAACCGTAACTAAATAATCTTTTCTGTATTACCTAAATAATTTTAAAAATAATACACTATTACACCTATTTTTTTGGATGTATCCTTCATTTCATCACACTATTTTATTATATTCCCATCATACCCTCAATAATTTATATTCCCTTTCACTATTCATAATCTCACTCACTTTCAATTTTTGAAGATTTCAACATTTAAGAGGCAAGATTTCTTTTTTGGTTGCTCCACTAACTTTGTAACTTTTTCTTTTAAGTAAAGAATTTGTGATTCAATTCAAATAATTCATTCTCCTTTGCACAAACCTCAATCACACAGTTTTAAATTTATTAATTTTTGTGCCGGTCAAACTTGGCAAAATTTTAAGGGACAAAGGGAGTAGGTGAACACACTAGAGTGAAAATAGAATACTCCCTCTATCCCAAATTGATGGTCCTGTACTTTTTGGGCTCAAGTATTAAGAAAAAGTGGTAGAAGGACTCATATAACCTTACTTTATTGTGTTGTCTACGCTTTTATTTCTATTGTTCAATAAATGGAGGGGTATAAATGGTAGTTTACTTTAATTTCTTTACCAAAAAAGGAAAAATGAGTATCATTTTGGGACACCGCAAAAAATAAATATAGGACCATCATTTTGAGACGAAGGTAGTAATAAATAAAAAAAATAAAGACGGATGGAAAAAAGAATAAAAAAGTGCTTGGAGATTAAAATAAATAAAGAAAATTTTTTAGATTGGAAAAAGAAAAAATTGAAACTTAAAACTCTTTTAACAAATTTGTGAAAAATGAAATTATTTATATAAGATTTCCAAGAAAATATAAAAAAAAAAATTAGTATATTAGGTCATGAAGATGTCATGTGGGTTTAAATGTTTAATGAGAGAACATAATTACATAAATAACGAGTAAAGGGTCAAATTGGTACTCAAAATTGCATAAAAATGGTCAAATAAGTCTTTATATAAGAGGTTCTGTCCGGCCGTCGCTATTTGAAGCGGTTCCCGATGGAATTTTTGACGAAATTTTTTTATCATCTTATTCATTGGGTCTAGTTTACTCATACCAAATTTCAGCTAAAACTTCAATCGTGAAGACATTCAAATGAATTCTTGAAGATAACTGTGCTTTTAACTGCGCTTTTAACTGCGGGTTTTTTACAAGAATATTATTAAAATAAAACATATTTACATAAATATAATTATTCATTACTACAATGTAGTGTTGTGGTAACTAAAGCTCAAAACTTGAACATGAATTACTATGATTTCATTATTACTCTAGTCACTAATCATACTTTTGTAAATCATCTTTATTTTGGTCATATTTATGTAATTATTTCTTTAACTGCGCAGTTATCTTCAAGAATTCATTTTTGAATTCCTTCCGAATTGATATTTTAGCTGAAATTTGGTATAAATAAGTTAGACTTAATGAATAAGATGCTAAAAAACATTCTATTGCGACAGCTAGACAGTAAGACTTATTTGACTCTATAGAAACAGGCCAGAAGGTAAGGAAAAGACTTGAACGACATATCGAAAAAAACCTTGCAGTCCGCGGAAGAAGAAACACAGCAGTGGTGAAGAAACAGGCTAGCAGAAAAAAGGAGAAGAATTTCAAATATATCAAGAACAAAATCGGTCTATCTTTTATCTCTTTTTTTTTTAATTTCTATCGATAATATTTTATGCTAAATTTCTTTCTTATAATCATATCACTCATATGAACTTGTTATTGGGTTAATTCATGATTACATTCAAATATATCTCAATTTACACTTGAGTTAGTGGTTATTAATTCGGATTTCAGTTTTAATTATACTCATGGATTAGGTTACTGTTTTCCGTGAATTGTTTTAGTTTCTAGATAAATATGATAGGCTAAATCTCCTGGATTTGAATTTGGATGAATTAGGGTTAATGAACGTTCTTGAATATTGAATTAGATATGGGAAAATTCTTCAATTATTAAGACCAGTTGTCTGAGATGAAATCCAAGCAGTCTGTGAAATTGATCAATTTACTTGTGAGTTGTGAATCTTCGAAAAATTAAACGTTTCTTATCAATGAGTTTGAAACTAATTTAGCCCAGAACTAGAGTTGAGTCCTAACAGAACTAGAGTTAATTTCTTGTATTTTGAGGATTAAGTTTTTACTATCTTTAGATTGGTAAAAGTTTCTCATATTTGTGTATAATAAAAGTCATTCAAGACCCGAATCTGTACCCTGCTTTTTAATTAATTTATTGTTACTAGTCACATTAAATATATCTAATAGTGTATATTATCAAATTTTAGTTTGAACCGATGTGTGTGAGCCAACAAACCAATGTATGCCGAGTGGCAATAGAATTGTCTCTATGAACTATGGACAATTTATTAGTTTTTTCAGATAATTTCTTCACACAGACACAATGGTCAAAGTGGTTGTACCTATGTAGCACGGAAACGGAAAGAGTATGTTTCCATTTCGGAAACTCTCCAAACAAGCCTTTGTGAGCAAAACTTAACGTTTCCAGTTTCTCGTTTTCTCATGATTTTCGCGTTTCCGTGCAACATAGGTTGTGTATCCTTTAAAAATGTTAGAAGTTGAAAACATGGTTGAATGTTCTAAATATGAAAAAAAATATTTAAAATATATTTTATTGCTAAATTGAATAAAAATATAGATATCGAAAATAAAAAATACTCGCTACCCTACTTTTTTCATTAATCATTATTAGCCAATTTAGCTAAATAAATTAGTATTTGTTCTTAAAAATGGATACCAGAAGGCAACTACATTGCGCGTACAGGGAACCGGTCCTCATGGCAATGTCAGTAATGAAGGAATCACATGAATTAACATGACATTGATCGCAGAAACTAATAATAAGTGAAATATGATGGTAAGAAAATACTATCTAATTTCAAACATCTTTTTTTAGTACCAAACATGATAATGTATTTAGGGTGTATTTTGACTCAGAATTGCATGTTAAAAGTTATCTCATTGAAATGAGTGATCCAATACCATTTTAGTTAGCATGTTTATACTAACTATGAATAGCTTAACAGGGTGATTCTTCATTGATCCCCATTACCATATCCAGTATTATCCACCCTTCCAGTTCCAGGGTGGTTTGCTACTGGGGTTATAGTTTTGTGAAGTAGTACCGATGGAGGGTTTTAGGCTCTCACACATATTGCTAACGTTTTAGTTCCTAATTAACCTCTCTGTTAGTCAAAGAAGTGTTTATGGGTGCTAATTTTTGTTAAACAGCAATTTGGAGTTTACCTACAATGGGAAACAAACCTGCAAAACCAGCAGCCAGATTGAAGGATGATGTGGTGATATTGAAGATTGTCCCTCCAATAGATCACGCTTGGGCCCGTTGGTTAGCTCGGGATGTCAAGAGGATTCATGGCTTCCCTCTGAGAAATGCTAGCGCTATCAAGCCCCCGGATCATTACATTGAGTGCATGAAAATGAATGGACTGTTGGATGTAGACTTGGATGATCCTGACCTGGCTCATCTGTTTAAGTAGACATGGTGATCTAAAGAGCAAGGTTACCTATTCTAAAACAAGTACAATAACATTCTCTATTTAAATAAATAAAAATTGTGCATCAACTGTCATGAGCTGAGTTTAAAATTGTGCTCTTAAGATTTGAGGCCCTTTGGAGTTGTAAGGCGTGAGCATAATCATAAGGTCGTTTGAGGCTTCATATTTTGTATACAAAAATAATCTAAACTGTTACTAACAATACAGGTGTAAAGCATATTCATTTACCCAGCTATTGTTGATAGGAGGTCACATGGAGAGATTCGAAGGTCAATTTGAAAAACAAAAACCAACTCGAATTAATTTCACTTGAAGCTGAATTTGAATGAACTTGAGGATTTTGAATTTTGAAATTACTGCAATTTCATAGGGTACGGGAGAAAAATGATTATTGTGTACTGAGCACTTGAGAATAAACATTCCAACTATGATGTGGACAGAAATTTACACAAAAGGCTGATATTGGACACTATGTACATGTGAATCTCAAACAGGTTTGAAATGGATCAAATCGGCCACTATTATATACTACGTACATACATTAAATTAGTTTATTCCAAAATATAAGAAGTTATTAATTAAAATCAAATTATATATTCCAAAACCTCAAATAAAATATTCCAAAATTATATACATAGATTAAATTAGTTTTTCTTCACCAAAAGGAAAGGAAAAATAAGACTAATGATTTTTATTAAAGGAAGAAGAGATCATAAGTGAGTGTCCAAAAACAATGAATTGTAAAACTTTAGTGTCCAATATAAGATACACATGTGATCATAGTGTCCAATTTAGTCCATTTGAAACATTAGTGTCAAATATGAAATTCTCACTTAGTCATAGTGTCCAATTTGAACCTTATCCCATAAAGTAATATACTACTCCTAAATTAAGTTTAAAGGGGGTGTATTACATAAGGAATAAGTGACAAATGTTTAAAAGTTCATGTATTCTAAAAGTTTAAGAGTATCGAATGTACTTTTTTTGAAAAAAAATTCATAGGTCTCGATGTATTCAAATTTTCATTTATTCTTATTGTGTACAACAACAAGCATCGCTCATCATCTTCTCCACTCACCATCTTTGACCCGCTATCATCTCTCTTTAGTTGCAAAACGTCGAGCTTCGAGGTGTGGTGATCGGTAACAATATTTTCTTCTTCTTTCATCACCTCTGGATTCGCAACCAGAGAGTGTGTAGCGAATCCAGATCTAGTGGTTATAGTGAAGGTCATCATTGTTCTCTACCTCTTTTGGTTGTTGCAGACCCCACTGAAATTTTTGAGATGCTATATTTATTCTTTGGTTAGAAATGTCAACTTTTATTCTGAAAATTTCATCAAGATTACACTATTACTCTTCAAAAATGCCATATTTTACTTTGAAAATGTCATTTAGATGACATATATTATTGATTCAAATTAACATTCCGATAAAAAACTTCGCATTTTTAAAGTCATCAATGTGACGGTGCTGGAAAGCAGGGTTGGCCGTAGAAGATATCAGTATATTTCTTTAATGATTTTTATAAATAAAAACATTATTTACTAATATTAAAATATGATAACGGTATAAATGCCACCGTGATTCTAACATTTGATTTGAAATATGAAAGATAGGGATTAAAGTTTCTCACATATAAATGTGTTCTTATTAGAAGTTTAGAACCATCCCTTATACGATGTATTTCGATATATTTATAATGATTATTGATACACACTCACCCTTAAGCCTCTCATCAGCTAAGAGGCACGCCCATCACCGGCAAATCTCGAACCTCAAAATTGACCTACCTTTTTAGAAGTAGGTAGTTATATATAAAGAAAAGGTGATAATTGTTTTAAAAATACATATAATAAAAAAAAAAAGTAGGTAGTTATACATGCGATCTCGATACTATCTTCTCATCAACTTATTATACTTCATTTTTGTTGGACTGTCATCCCATTTTGTTCATAAATCATTCATTTACATCTCTCTGTTCATTGTACTTGTACTCTTAGTTTTTTTGTGTCGTCATTCTATGGAACACCCCTCATGCTAGCATGTAAATCATATCCTCAATATAAGATGTACTATCGGGTATAGGCACTATCGGGTAGTTACACCAAGTTGTGAAGCTTAAGAACTCCGACGGAGCTCTATGTTGAGGTCTGGAGCACTTAAGAGAGCCTCCTCTATAGGCAATCAACTACCATATTCTGACATCCCCAATCCATTCCTGGTTTTTATTCTATTACAAAACCTCATGGTAAGGACTCAGGACGCATTGCTCTTTGATCATATTTCACGTTTTCAGCCATTATGTTGAATTTCTTTTGTGACAACATTAGCTGCCAATGTAAAGATTACAGTATTCATTCATTGGATCATTGCACTTGCATATCTTGCCGAGTTGTTGCACTTAAAAATTCTAAAATTATAATGAACCGGTTACTTACTCAGTTACTGGCATCATTTTGTATCATTTGCATGATTTTAGCACTAATGTAATGAGTCACCAGAACATCAAGGCTGGAAACCTATGAAGCACGGATACTTCCCTAGGGTAGCGTATCGGCGTATCCGATACGTTCCCGTATCCGATACTCTAGGATACCCGTACCGTACGTTCCCGGGCCGTATCTGCAATTTTTAAAAGTTTCCACTTTTTTTTGTAATTTTTTGAAAGTTTCTGATACTCGTATCCTGACGGATACCCGTATCAACTTTTTTTTTAAATCCCAAAAATTATTTAATAAAATTATAAAAAAATGAAAATCTAAAACTACATTTTACTTGGTAATCAAATAATGGGCCTATATGGCTATATCCGAATTAAGTCATTAACTCATACTCCGAATTGGGTACTTGCACTTTTAATTTTAAGATTGTAGTTGTTTGACTTATTTCTCATTTTAAATTAATGACTTATTGACTACATTTATATTTTGAGATACATTAGTGTATATGAGAAATATTATGAATTTATTACTAAGTATCTTGAAAAAGGAAAATGTTTCAATGCAATGAATGGGTAGACATCATAGCATATTATATGTATGTGTGTGTGTGTGTGTGTGTGTGTGTGTATATATATATATATATATGTGTGTGTATATGTATATATTCAAAAAAAATCTATTTTTAATATTTATAAATAGACCTCTATAACTTTTAATATTTGTAAATACACCCCCATAACTTTTAATATTAATAAATATGGCCCCGTATCCGTATCCTACTTTTTTTGGTTTTGACGTATCCCCGTACCCGTTTCCGCGTTTCCGCGTACCGGTATCGGTGCTACATAGCTGGAAACATAAAGGTTCCTTGGTAAGTAGATATACCAAATCTTCCTGGGACTTTGAACAGTCGAGTGTCGACTCTCTCATTTTTAAAAATCCTTCATTTACACGTGTAAATTGTGTAATTATACTAATACGGAGTATTTGACAAGCCACGAGAAAAAAAATAACAACAAACGTAAAGGACTGCAATGTCAATTATGGCCATCTCCTACCTCCCCAATTCAGCCTCAAAGAGAGAACTAGAGTTACTATAACTGTAGTATACTCTAATTGGTCTCAGGTAGTTATGCTTGTTTCCAAGGCTGCACACAAATAAAATTTACTTTGTATGTAATTACGAATTACTACCTGACACCAATTGGGCAAATCGGGACCATAACGTTAGGGACAATTTGGATTCCAGACTATCCCTTAAGTTGTGCAAAGAACCCCCATCCACACACATTCACACATTGCCTCAATACTCAATACAAAAATAGCTCTAAAAGAAATCTTCCAAACTTAACTTCAATTGCTATAACAATCAGCTGCTTCAGATTCTCAGAATACAAGATTGATACATCAAATAAAATAAAAGGATAAATAACTTTCTACAGCAAAAAGTCTATATCTTGATCTAAAGTTGAGATTTCTAATATTTTACATTTGCTTGAATAACAACTCATGAACATATAACATTTCATCCACCATTTATTGTTTCTAAAAACAGTCTATACCCCGATATAAACCAAGCCTCCCCAGTATTCTACTCCAAAAGCTCCAAAATCGGACATCTTAACAGAACCTTCAGCTTCAAGAGATTCAAATCCAAATCAAAAATAAGTTCCAGCATAAAAATTGTTGTACTCATCGTCGCCTCTAACGGTAATTGGGCTGGTCAGGTAGTTGAAGTGCCGCCGATCAATTGATTATGTATTCATATCTGAAGGGTTATTTAAGCTTTAGCTTCTAGAATCTAGACTAATCTAGTCACAAATAGACTAATTTGCCTCTTCATATTCATCATATATCATAATTAAAACATAAGATTCCATCTTAGGTAATAAAGTATATCATTTGTGTTCTTTCTTACAGTACCATGAAATTCCTTATCATTTATCCAAATTTAAAGATAAAATTCGTACAGATCCAACTAATTGAATGAGTGCAACGAAGTTAATAACAAATTCTCAGAATCAAAATGATAGTGTATTCATTCATACTCAAAATGAAAACATAAAACTACCATTTAATTTAAGTAAGACCCCATTTGAGTTCGATCTTTATTCTTCAACCATTTCAAATCAGAAATTGGATTATTCCGGTGCCGGCTGTACAACACTGGAAGGCTTTTCCAACAACTCACCTTGTTGTCTCAGCTGCTGCTTTCTCTCCAGCTTTCTCCACTTGTTAATGGCAGCTGTGCAGATAACTGAAAACCAACAAATAAAACATTGGATCGCTAAACCCGAAAATTATATCTAATAGTTGGTGATACATAGGGATAGAGTATTAGAGTGTGTATATAGCTGAGGAATATGAGTTTACTTACATCCGGCGCCGGCGAAGTAGAGCAGTCGAAGGACCTTGGGTGCTGCCTCTTCCCCCGGAGCAATCATCTCTCTCCGCCTGGACTAAGATGGATCGGTGTTCCGCTGTGCAGACATATTACATGGCCGCCAAGGCCCGTTAGAAGACTTGCGGTCCAATTATCGATATCTGAGTTTAAGCTAAGATTGCAGCCCACATATCTTTTTTTTTTTGAAATCAAATAACTAATTTATTATTAAGCGATAGCAAAAATATAAGAGAATGAATAGCTTGAGGCTACTATGAGATGAGATATAGAACGGAATAGATTCAATGAATTCTTCCAGATCACTAACCCCGCAATAATGTAGTCTAGTCTAACAGCCTTGCTGATCTTCTTGCTACTCCAAAGAGAAATTAAAAAATTACAAGTAAAAGATCAGGCTTCTC